CCAGGGTGAAAACACACGTGGGTATAATTGTTTGCTGCACGAGGGAGAGAGAGAGAGAGAGAGAGAGAATTGTTTGCTGTGCCGCTTCTGCTGGTTTCCCCTTCGGGACCAAACTTCTGCCAGCTTGTGCCGGGGCTTTTGAAAGAACTTTACAGCCGGACAGTGGATCGAGGTGATCTAGACACCAGCTTTGCCCTGCCCGTGGATTCCACTCTTGGTTGCGCTCTTTTGGCACTCAAAGGTGGAAGTCACATGCGGGCATCCAAACACGTCAACTGGAGGTGATGTTCCCGATTCAGGGCCTAGTGGTTCGGGGCTGATGCCCAATGTCTTCTCTCTGTGATTTGAACTTCCGACTTTTGGGTTCAGTTGGAAGCGAGGTTTCATTGGCTGGAATGGGTGCGTCCAGAATGGGGTCACCTACACTGCCTTTTGAAGCATAATCCAAACGTGGCCCCCCGTCATTTCATGCAAACCCAAATTCATAGACAGGCTACATGGTGGTTGTCTATCCCAAACTCTCCAGTTCATACATTCACACATTCTGCCTATTTCCTAGCGAGCTCAGCTGCGGGTATAACGAGCTCAGCATGATAAAGGCCCCTCTCTTGAAGATCCCTGAATTCAGCCCTGCATGCGGGGAGCCGCCTACCAAGGGCAAACATCTCATAAAAGAACATCAAGAATCTAAGGGCGGAAAGGCGCACCTACGGTGAATGCCCTAAAAAATGTAAGTACACCAATCACTCTCAATCCCAAAACCTAGATTACCATAAAATAGGCGAATCCGTAGTTGCTTTGCTTGCAATATTTAGGGCATTCACCGATGGCTCGCTTCGCTCGCGCAGATCTGCCAACCCGGTTGGAAGTGCGGAGTGGTGAACTTTCTGGTGCTGCTCATGGGCTGCGTACTCTTTGTGTACACAAGCTTATCCGCCTCCCGGCAATAGTTGGCAGCACTTTTGACCTTGCTTATGTTTCTGTTTCTAGTGTTCTTGTTTTGTTTGTCTTTGTTTGTTGCTTGTGTGCTTCTTTTTTTGGTTTCTTGGTTTGGTCGTGTGTTTGTGTGTGTGTGTGCTGTTTTGTTTGTTAGGTTAGGTTTGTTGTTTGTAAAGTAAGTGTTTATTAGTTGTGTTTTGCTTGATTTATGTTTGTGTTGTGTGTTTGGTTGTTTCTTTCTTTCTTTCTTTCTTTCTTTCCTTATTTCTTTCCGTTTCTTTTGTTCATTATCTATTTATTTATTTAAATATTAATATCTTTGTTTGTTTGCTTGTTTGGTTGGTTGTTTGGTTGCTTGTTTGCTTGCTTGTTTGTTTGCTTGTTTGTTTGCATGTTCGTTGTTTGTGTGTTTGTTTGATTGCCTGGCTAGCAGTTTTCTGTGTTTGTTTGATTGGGTGGTTGGTTGGTTGATTGGTTGGTTTGGCTGGGTTTGGTTTGGTCTGTTTTGGCTTGTTTTGGTTTGGTTTGTTTTGGCTTGTTTAGGTTTGTTTGCTTGTTTGGTTTGCGGTTTGATTTGTGTGTGCTGCGATTTGGTTTGTTTGTTTGTTTGTTTGTTTGTTTGTTTGTTGTTTGTTTTGCAGTGCTTGTTTGTTGTCTCGGTTTGGTGTGGTTTGTTTTTGTTTGGTTTCTGTGTTTGCTTGGTTGGTTTTGTTGGTTTGGTTTGGCGTGGATTGTTGTTTCGGTTGGCTTTGTGTGTTGTTGCTTGTGTGCGAAAGGTTTGGTTGGTTGGTTTGGTTTGGTGTGCTTGGTTTGTTTGATTGTTTTGCTTGCTTGGTATGCTTTGTTTGCATGTTAGGTGTTGTTGTTTGCTTGCTTTGCTTTGCTTTGCTTGGCTTGGCTTGTTTGCTTGTTTGTTTGTTTGTTTGTTTGTTTGTTTGTTTGTTTTGCGTTCTTTGCGTGCTTGTCGTTTGTTTGTTTGCTTGGTTATGGATTGGTTTGGTTTGGTTTGTTGGCTGGCTGGCTGGCCGGTTGGGTTGCTGAGTTTGTTTGTTTGCGTGTTTGTTTGTTTGTGTGTGTTGTTTGTTTGTTTGTTTGTTTGTTTGTTTGTTTGTTTGTTTGTTTGTTTGTTTGTTTGTTTGTGTGTGTTTGTTTGTTTGTTTGTGTGTGTGTTTGTTTGTTTGGTTGGTTGGTTGGTTGGTTTGGTTTGTTTGGTTGTTTGGTTGTTTGCCGCAGTATCTAAGCATTGTGGAGCCGCCGTTGGTTCAACACCCCCTTTCTGTTCCCATTGACAAGGGAACAGGTGTTGGTTGTCTTAACAAACTTTGCCCTGGCACATGGACAAACAAAGCATCTTCTGAAAGGACCTGGCAGGTGTCGGGGTTAAGCTAATTGGTGGATTCCATGCTGCGGGACCTCCACACTTGGTTTGACCTTCTACCTCTTCCACTTGGAACATGGCTTTTTCTCACAAACGAGTAAAAAAGAATACGACCCATGTTGGGGACCAAACATAGACACACCCAAATGGCCATGGGTCAAAATCCGGTATCCCAGTGAACATCCCAATCCCTGCTAAACCCCACTAAAATAGACTAAAATGGGTGGTGCGCCTACCCCAAAATGGTACCATTGGTTTTGACCCACAGCCCAACAATTAAATGGCCAGTGAGCATCCCAAAGTGGATCACAGGCAGTACAGCAGATCGCCCTCTAGCACTCCGGGGTCGGCGAGTCGCTGAGGGCTGGCGCACCTTTGGCAACATAGCACAGCTTTCGCCGTGAGCGTTGTCTGAGGGGTAAGTCAGGTGAAGGGCCCTTCTTCCTGTCCAACCTATAGGCCAGGGTGACGTTGGGAATGGTAAACTGAGGCCAGACTCACGACCGCACGTTTGTCAGCCCAACGTAATTCGCTTGGGCGAAAAGGCCTTTTTTGACAGCCTCAGGCCCGTGCCGAACGAGCGGCGTGCCTCCTGGAGGCTTGGAGGCTTCAGGCAACCGCCGAGCGCCCACGGCCAAGGGATTCGAACCGGCGTGTGCGTGTCCCCAAGGCCCAAATTGCGTTATGTGTCAGAGGAGGGTTTATCCCTTTGTCCTCAAATCAGCACAGGCCCGGCTCGATCTGTTCCATTGAATTCGTGTAATCAACTTGAAGGGGCTACTCCAGGAAGCAACGCATTGCGCGCATTAGCGCAATGTGGTTGCACAAGGGCATACGCACTCATCGGGTCACGGTCCACGGCAGGGGCCGCAATGCAGCTTCCGCCGTTGCAACGTAGGTCGATCAGATGAACTCGCTTTCCCAAAGCGATCTGTGATACACACACATTGCCTGTTGATCCTGGATCAACCTTGGTTGTTGCGGCGATGTGTGGAATCATTCCCTTTAGAATGGAGCACCCCCCCTGTTGATCAACCAGGGATTCATGAATCCAGGGTGTCCACTGGTCGTGACACAAAAGGTGAGTTGGCCTTCTTCCAGTTCGGGGCAAGTGAGCACTCTTGAGAATCAGACCATCCTTCAGCAAGCCAGGGTTAGGGTTAGGGGGCTAAAGTCACCAGACTGATCAACAGACCTTTGCAGGGCTTGTTTTTTTAGCTTTCATTTGCGGAAACTAAAGGGCCCCCACCACAGTGGGGGCTGAAAAGGCCAACCTTAGTCTAAGCCAAGCCAATGCCCGTTATGCGGTCAGAGGCGGATCTGACTGCAGCGGCTTTTGTACCCTCCCAACAAATCAACCACGGTGCAACCTCCCCAACCCCCTGATACCTAGGATTTGCGGCACACGGCACCTTCATTGATTTATGGTGCCCTGCTGGGAGGATGTAGATGCGTTGTGAAGCCCTTTGCAGAAAGAACATAACCTTCCGAAGTGGTTGTGCAACCAAGTCATGCCTTTTGGTCGTTTTGGGAAGTCGATGCTTTGAATGCTTTGTATAGCAGGTCGCATTGGTCGAATTCAGCCAGGGCAATTTGCGGAATGAGTGAGACTGCCACGAGGGGCAGGGCCAAAGGCACATTTGATCATTGCTCTTTTTCCGGAAAGTAGAAAACCTACAGTCGCTCTGCAGAACTGCGCAGGTTTAACCACGAGCGGATCGATAGTTGCTTAACGAGTGCAACTTTTTCCATGTTCACTCAGGTGTTCAGTTGTAGTTCCTGGATTTGCCTTGCACCCTTCAGTGGCGTGCTGCTCCTCATTCCTCGTTTGCTCGGGTCATTTACTGAGTGGCCAAAAGTCAGTTCCAGGTCAGTGTTTTCGCACTGTGTTGATTGCTAACAATCGGGACACAAATTGACTGGGTTGTTCAGATTCAATCCTCACTCCGTGTGCTAGATGGCAGTCGGACGAGGATTTGGAATCCCTGTGTTGAACAACCCGGCGAGAAGGTGGCAACTGGCAACTCAGCAAGACTGCTGCTGAAATGCAGCAGCAAGTCTGTCGGGGCTTACTGACCTTGAGGGTCAAATGTATTTTTTTGCGAAGGGGCGTGGAACGAGTGCTTTCATTGGAAAAAGCCCGGCTGCACATATTACAGCCAAACTTGACGACGTCATACTGGGATTTGAATGCTTGATCTTTCCTTCAGACATGAGTCTATATGGTTCCGTCGCTTTCCGGAAACATTGGAGGGGACTCCCGTACGGCACGATTGGGCATGCCATTGGTTGATCACAAAGTTCAAATTGCAGACCTACGACCCTTGGAAAAAGGAGAAGACCTGGAGCCTGGAGTCCACTTCGAAAGTGGAACCCAGCTTTCCTCCAAGATATCGTGCCTGAGTTCTGGCTGAATGAGTTTGAGAAGGTCTAGGTCTCGCTTGCTAGGTCTTATCCGAGCTATGCCATATCAACATGCCATGTGGAGCAATTTCATCACCACAGTTTGTTCAAACTATCAGAGTTCGACAATCTCTCAAAGGGCAATATGTACTCCTGTTTAATCATTGCCCTCTCTCCATCGAACATGCAACCTAATTTCCGTGCAGGTTTGCGCATTGCAGTCCTATTGGCCGGGAGGGGACGCTCCAAGGGGACGCTCCAAGAGGGGACGCTCCGTCAGGCAGTCCTCGCCGAAGCCCGCGCCGGCGCTCACCGCCCAGAAACCGCTCTCCCCGCAGAAACCGCTCTCGCAGCAGGAAGAAAAGCCGGAGCCGCAGCATGGCCTGACTTGGCTTGTTTTTTTTTGTTTCGGAGATGTTTGTGTTTTTTTGGTTTCGATGTTATTTACTTTCCTTTTTCAGGTTCCCTCATTTTCAGAATCTCAAACAAGCAAACCGTGGTTTTTCGTTTTCGAGGGCATCAGATCCGTCTGCCCCAGGCAGCAGGAAGAAGAGCCGCAGCCGCAGCCGGCGGCGCAGCCGGAGCCGCAGCAGCTTGGCAGAAGTGGTGTGGTGGCCACGTGCTCAAAACCCTTTGGTAGATGAAGGTTAGTAATGTTAACCCGGATTAATCAACCCCTGGTTGATTAATAGGGAGATGTCCCCTTTTAGCGGGGATTGAGACCGCAATGGAGGGAACACCCCCCCAACAACGGGAGGGGTTTATTTTAAGGGGCAGTCCCAGCCAGAAATAGTTTCGGATATCCGTCTTCTTAGTTCTTGAAGCATGGTTCTAGGATTACGACCATTTCAATACCGGGTTTTGATTGTGGCTCATGTCTGAGGTTTGGTGCACACCAGTACAGCAGCCTATGGTCCATTGGACCGAGTTTCCCCACAAAACCCGGAGGACTCACTATACAGGGGACCAGCCCGCTCCAAGGCGACGCAGGGGGACTCACTAGTTTTTCCCGGTGCTTTCGGAACAACAAGAAAAGACAAAAAACAAGTGATTCTGACCATGGCTCATGTGTCATACGAGCCACTGACCAAGTTGCTTTCCTGTCAAGACTGTTCCCAAGACAGTTCTTGCTTCTGTGACACAAGGCCAAGTCATGGCAACGGATGTAGTTATCAAGGACCATGACCGGACTGCTCCTATCCCCGCCTAGGGCCGAAGCCAACATGTTAAGTCTTGGATGCTTGTTACTTTAAAAGAAACAAGGAGGAAGCTGGCATCTCTATTGGCCCACCCACATGAGAGACAACACCTCAGCACCTTGCTTTGAACAGATCGCGTGCATCGCTTGCAAAGGAGACTCATTTAGGGGAATCAAGATCGTTGTCCAAAGCGCATGGACGAAATCCGACCTTTTGCTGACTTGGCTTTGAGCCATGTTCAGACCCAAAGGATTGCTCGATGTCCGGGCTTGGTTGACCAAAGCAAATTGACCTTGGAACCTTTTTGGCTTAAGTTCCCAGTGTCCTGTTTCAGTCAAAGTCCGAAAGGGTAACATGTTGTTTTTCCAGTTCCTTTGGGCCAGCGAGTCCTATCCCTTTCTGCCACAGGGCTGGTTGACTTGCACCGGCCACGGGGCGCTTGCTGTTTTAAAGGCCAACGCGGTGCCCCAAAGCGGATTCGAATACAAACTGCTGAAAGGATGGCGTTTGTCTTGCGATGGGACACGGCTCCCGTACCCATTCAAGGTGGGTTTCCGCAGAGATGATGTTTTGAGGGGAAACGTGGTGAACCTGTAGTGCCCCAAGGGCTGCGGCTTCGGTGCCAGGTCGAAGCGTCAAGAAGCCACGCCACGAGCGGTTCCGCCGGGCCGCAGACTGTCAATTGATCAGTGGGGTTCTGGCAACCTGTGGTTTGGATTGGGGATTTGAACCACTGGTTCTTGAGGGTAAAAATGGGACTCCCTAACCTCCAAACCACCAATTGGGTGCTTATAAGGTGCGGGGAGTCATGCTTCTTTTTTCGCATCGGGTTTGCGATGCGGAGTTTCGAGATGCTTGGCCTGAGTTCCCTTGCAGCTTTGACGCCCGGCCTGGCCGCGTACATGCCCATGGCTTGATTTAGTTCGGGGCAACTGGGCCAAACCCACCACTTGTCATTCCTATGCAGATGCAGCTCAGTATTATTTTGCCTTAGGCAGATCCCAATATGGCTCAATTTTCATGGTAGCCCAGCGTTTGCTGTTTGTCCATGTTTGTAAGCCGAGCGAGTTGATGACACCTTCCCGCTCATTGCCAGCAACTGGGCCGAGAATTGATCTCTTTCAGCAAGTTGCCAGGGGAAATGCGTTGAAGGCTTTGCACGCCTGGAGCAATGGCAGCTACACATTGCGGGCAACGTTCAGCACTTCCTCGCCAGCAAAGGGCCGCCGGTTGTCTTCAGACGTATTGAGACCGCACTCTCACTCCCGAGGGGCGGCTTGAGCACCAAGATTCTGGCCGTCCACCAACACTTCGAACAACAAACACAATTTGTCTCGTATGATATCAACCCCTGACTAAACAGGGAGGTAGTTACTTACTGGAGATGGTCGTAGAACCTACATCCTCCAAAACTGTGACTGCAGTGGGGGTTGCAGAGGAATCTTCTTTTGGGGTGGCGGCCCCTTTGGGGTTCCACGTATGTTTGCCGCTCCGTGGGCAAGGCTTCCTGCCAGCAACCAGCGGCTTCGGCGCCGTGCGCAGCCCCAAAGCGGTGTGCGACTGCTTTGGCCCAGGGTAGAAGGTTGTCTTGTTTTCCTTTCAGGGACCGAATTTGCACCCAGGAAACAGCATGAGGCATACATGAAGAAATTGCAAACACCATAGATATGGGGCGAAACTAGATCCCTGCGCTATTTTGTTACGTAAGGGCAGGTCTCTCAACATGTTTTGAAACCCTAGAAGCCATGAATGCTGCAAGCCAAGGTTGCTGCATCAGACATTTGCAGGGCCGGATTTGAGGCGAGAGTCAAACCGTTAGCCAGCCGACTAGCCGATAGCCAATTAATTCTGTCCCGCCATGCCTAACCCAACCAACTCAGTACCACGTCGATTTTCTTGCCTTTTTCAGCCTTACGAGTGCGGCCAGTCAGCAACTTTGCGTACTTTCGACCTCTCACAGCGAGCGTAGCATCAAGTTTCAGACAAAAGGCCAAGATCCGATAGGGCACAAGGTCGCTTCGCCCTGGCAACGCCCTCTCGAACTCCCGAGGCCCTCGCAAGGCGCCGTAGCCACCATGGTTTTTGTTTCAATGCAGCGGGCCTTCTTTGCTTTACGGCTATTTGGTTGGATCTTTGGACTCTAATCTTTGGGAAAGTGGATCTTCCATCGGGTTAAGCTGTTTGCAGAGGGGTCAACAGCAACGAAGTTTGGTCCTTCACTTCACTTGCCCCTCCCAAATGGTGCATCGCTGCGAATTTCGTGCGAGCTTGTCAAATGGGGGCCAAGTGGGTGTGGCTCAAAATTTAAGGGCTAGGGTTGCGCAGGTGTTAGTCTTCGGTTCTATTTACCAAGGTGCCATTTTGGGTACCATTTTTTGGAGCTACCGCCATATTGACCACACGGTAAGCACTGCCCCGTTCCCCAGCCATTCCTCAGGCTCCGGCACCAGCCTTGGCTGCCAAAGATGCAGCGAGACCCG